AACTCAGGAGAGCTGTAACGCATTATCATCACCTCCTCCTGATGATCAATATTCTTCTCATCCGCCAATCAACCGTATTCCTCAAACTGCAAATTTAGTAACAAACCAATCAAGCGCACGACACAATTGAGAGACCGTATTTGATCAAAACGTAAGGAGTACTTACTCGCCAGATAAAGTGCTAGGCGTACTTGGTGATATAAGGGAACTCGGATGCTAACAGGACTAAAAAAAGTCTCAAAGAGTTGGTAAGTAGGGCCGTTTCCTATTTGGCTGTTTTCCATTTTTTAACAATAGCGGGCAAGAGGCGGTGGGTAAAGGCTAAAAAGTCTCAGGAGTCGGTAAGTAGGGCCGTTTCCTATTTGGTTGTTTTCCATTTTTCAACAATAGCCGGCAAGAGGCGGTGGGTAAGTGCTAAAAAGTCTCAAGAGTCGGTAAGTAGGGCCGTTTCCTATTTGGTTGTTTTCCATTTTTCAACAATAGCCGGCAAGAGGCGGTGGGTAAGTGCTAAAAAGTCTCAAGAGTCGGTAAGTAGGGCCGTTTCCTGTGTGGTTGTTTTCCATTTTTCTACTTTAGCGGGCAAGAGGCAGTGAGTAAGGCCTAAAAAGTCTCAAGAGTCGGTAAGTAGGGCCATTTCTTGTGTGGTTGTTTTCCATTTTTCAACATTAGCTGGCAAGAGGCGGTGAGTAACGCGTAGAATTTGTAGTAAAAGTGATCCATAACAAAAATTAAAAAATTTACAAAAAAATATTTTTTTACTAAATTTTTTTAAAAAATTAAAATTTAATTAATAAAATAAAAAACAAATGTCTTAGTAACAAATCTATAAATTTTTGAGCTTTAACCAAATAATTACAACATGTGAAGTTAGTTCGAGTCTTTTGTCCAGCGGCAAAGAAGCCAAAGACTTCATTGCTTAATGGTCAAAATGGAAGAAAACGCGTATTGGAATGTAAATAAAGGAAGCTTCCCTACCCCCTTCAAAAACGCGTAGAATTAATAATAATTTAAAAAACGCGAAATGAACCGGGCCTTTAAGCACAATGGTTCGATCCCAAACCTTAAGTGTTTGGATGAAATGGTCGGAGTTTCGAGTTTTACTATCGTAAACTCTACAAAAAAATGACTTGATGGCCACGCGCTTTATTTGAGGGGTGAAATATTTACCCGGTTTAAAAATCAAATCCTCAGTTA